GAGCTCTCCGTGCATTAGAATAAAGTGCGTTGCCCATTTTTTGTCTCTCTTCGTGTATGGGTACGTGCCACTGAATTTTTGCGAAATAATTGCTATTCTGAAGATTTTATCGAAGTTCAATTCCATTTTGGACTTTCTATAATAAATCATTGCATTATTGGTTCGAATGATACTGGGTGGAAATTTTATAAAGAAATCACCCTCGTTTGATTAAAAAAAAAATGTTTATTGATTGGTCCAAAATTAGTATTTATAATATCTGTACAAATATCAGAAAAGACAAAATACTTATATCTTCTCCTCAACATATTGGTCAATGTAATTTCTACTGTTGTTGCTTAATAGGCATGATCGTATATTATAACTTTATAATCAAAATATAAGTATATAGATAACAAAACAAAAGACAAGGTGTAATACAAAAAGAAAACTAAATTTTTTAGTTAGTTAGTGATTTGAGTTAAATTTCGATCACTGGATCACATAAAAGCAGAGTTGGGCGATTTTAGGAAATTTCTGTCTTCTTAACCCTTAATTTGGCAAGAAATTTTTTCAATTTTTTTTTTAATTTCTGTTATTTTTCTATGTCTGTATAGACATTAGGATCTCTGTAAAATAAATAAATAAAATATATTATTTCCCATTTTTGAGATAATCAATGTCCGCTATGGCGATCATTGTTATGAAGGAGTCATAAATATACATGTCCGGTGTAGCGGACAGTACTAAATATTCGGTAAATAAAAAGTTGAAGTATTTTGTGGACAAATATAATAAAAAAGTATTTAGTTATGACATTTAATTTAGTACGAAAATTAAGAAAACAGTTTCTGGCATTTTTGCCAGTTACAAAACAAAGTCTGACATTGCATTTTAACGCAATGTCAGTAATGTGTATAAATACAAAATGTATAAATATAAAAAAAACATTTTTTCTGGCAAATATCTGCAACGTCTTTCATCCATAATTGACGGGAAATAACCTACATCATCATATTTTACAGGGCTTGAAGGTCTTGCTGCGTAAGGTTTGTTTATTTTTGAGTGTTCTCTTACATTCTTTTGGCACTTCGATTGGGCAAAAATAGGTTTTCATATACCTGATGTCTAAATACCTTTAGGGAAATTTTACTTCCAAGCCCGCGCTGGACTCGATAAACAAGCCAAGCATTATTCAGGCAAATATCAACTATTTGTGCAAAAATACCTAAGTACTACCTTCTACTTTTGAAAGCTATTTTGTACAATGATATCAGCATGCTACGCGTGTGCTTATAAATGTAACAGCCTTATTATCGTTCCACCGAACAACAGGTAGGCAGTTATTGTCGCATGTCGATTCTGAAAATGCACCTCTCTCCTTCTTCTTCATTTCCTTTTCCTTACCTGCATAAATGTCTTGCAAATAAGTATAAATAAAGATGTAAATTTAATAATTAGGTAAAATATTAGTAATCATCCCAATACATGTTAAGCCCGCAATAACTTTGGCAATGTTCGTTGTGGGGGACAAATCAATCAAACACTAAATATTTGTGAAATTGATTTTGTTCGCTGTGGCGGACAAACATTGTTTTTAGTAAAAAAAGTCACCAAAACCATACAAAATTACAAGATCTATAAATGATTTAATAAATTACAATATTACAAAGTTATTTCAGTAAACAAACGTGCACATTTATTAGTAAAACCTTTATAAAAAATTATAAATACTTTGAGTAAAACAGATGGCTTGTGCTTCGTCGACATTTTGTCTCAAAATCACAGATACAAGATTACCAAATAAGTTTTTTTTTTACCAAAATTGAAATATATTTTAAAGTTATATTTAAGCCGTATAGAAGTTTTCATAGACCCACCAGATTTTATTTATTTAATTGTTCGTTGTAACGGACTGAGCCAAATTAAGGGTTAAGGGAGCAGCCGTATCAGAATACTAAAGACACAACTAACCTCAATGAGTTGTGGTCGCCATTTCAAAGGGAACATTCTATCGATGTCAGGAAAATAAACAGGTGTTTTATATTAAACAAATGTTATTTTTTCATGTTGAATTTGCTATTATTATGTAACTAGAAGTGCCTGTGGTTTCAGCGGAGTTTACCTATTTTTTACCCTACCTAATTGTTGGTAACATAAGGGGCTATTTCAGCTTCGCGCGGACTGGTAGGTGAGCTCACGGGCTCAACATAAGAGAATTGCTAACACTAGCCTTTTTTCCTACGTAATCTTGTAACCTGCGAGTAGGTGAGCTCACGGGGCTCTATCCCGAGGACGTTGCTCTAACATTAGCCCTAGCAAGAGTGCTTTTCTGAATTTACTACCGGATCAGAATCGCTACCCACAACGAAAATCCGACGATAACTTATAGCTATCAAAATCGATATTACTTTGGCTGAACCTTGCGCTTTTATTTTTAATTGTCATCATATCACTTCTGACGTATCTAGTATTGTACAGTTTTTATGGTCACAAACGATCATAAAAGTAGTTAATTTTAAAGCAATTAAATTAATTATGTCTATGACTAGCTAAAACTTCAAAAAATACAATAAATGGTATGACTTTTTATGGTATTTTGGTTTTGCGGGTTGCTTAGTTACGGCTCCGACTTCTGTTATGGTCATTATGAAGTACAGTATGCGCCCGAGTTCATGTCCATCGGGGCCAGAGGCGACGCGCGGGGGACAGCTCGCCCCACCTTCGCCCACCTCCCCGTATTTGTCTGTCATCGAGTGTTGTCCTTGACGGTTGTGACGCGCGCTTATCGTAATCGAAAATTTACGCTAACGGTATTGTGTTATTTAACCATGACTACTCCGCTTCCAACAAGTTCAGGTAGAAAAAAACCTACTGAAAAAAGATACATACTGATTCCGACTCTGATCTGTGGGTTGTCTTTTTATTTGATAGTGATTGAATTGGAATTTAAAAAATATTTTTCTCTATTAGAAATAAACAAGTAATTACTTATCACATTTATTTTATTTCATAAATTGCAAAATGACCTTAAGTTACATTAACCCAAATTGACAGTTGTTGACTAAATCGGTAGTTATTATCGATATTACCATAATTAACGAGGTCACAGCACTACCGTATTCCTCAGGATGGACATGAACTCGCGCGCCTACTGTATATTCCATGCGAGATGTTTTAGATGATATTTTTCCAATACATTCTTTCTGCATTAGAACCTAATTAACGAGAAGTGAATTCTAATTTTGGCTCTTTGATAGTGATGTCGTTAATTTAAAACATAGCTTAAAGTGTTTTCCACGAAAATAAACAAAAAAATTGCACACATACCTAAACGAATTATTGAGCTTTCTCAAACATTTGATTGAAATATTTATTGCACGACTAAACAAAATAAAAATATGTATTCGAACATTCTACTTAAAAGAATATTAGAATAATAGTTTCAGTTAAGTTAAAATAATAATAATATGTATAAATGTAAAACACATCATTATTTGATCTATGACGTCTTTTCAGGCTGAAATATTACAGTAAAATAGAAGAGGGTACAGAGACATAGAGGGAGAGTGGAAACCAGGTTCTTGTCAGGAAAAATCCTGGACAGTAGTTAAATTCAGAAAAGAAACTAATCACAAAAATTTCCCTAAAAACTCGTATTTTTTCAATCTGGCAAACCAACACGATCGCCGCATACATACGTGCGATATTAAAGCTTAGCTACAACTAGACGTAGACTTTGAAATGGCTACGGTCACGTGGATTAAGAGAACACATTCTTAGAAGCAGTCTTCCCGATTTGTACGCCATGTTGCAAACAACAATATTATCGTAGACTGGTCGTTCACTGGTAGTAGGACCTCCTGTGAGTCCGTACAGGTAGGTACCACCGTCCTGCCTACTTCTGCCGTGATGCAGTAATGCGTTTCGGCTTGAAGGGCAGGGCAGCCGTTGTAACTATATTAGAACTTATATCTCAAGGTGGGTGGCGCATTTACGTTGTAGATGTCTATGGGCTGCAGTAACCACTTAACCATTTCTTCTTCAAACAAGTTTTGAAATGTGTTCTTAGAGATAGACAGCGGTGAGATCTAACTTAGTTTAATACACCATCGTACTTTATATAATGATTATTTGTTAGGTCATGTCCGTTTTAAATTTAAACTATTTTAGGCATGACACACCTATTACGGAGGCCTTTGCCAAAAGGCAATCAGAAATAAAGACTTTTAAGATGTAACTTATGAATTAAAAAACTAAGCTCTTACCAGTATATTTCCTGCATTTGTATTACGGTCTTCTTAAGTCTCTCTTGAACTACGTAATCGTCATTATCAAACAAGTTCTTAATGTTCAATCTGACGATTTCGAGCTTAGCGCAGCCGTGCAGCAAGAATATCGGGCCCAATGGCAAAACGCTTGTATACAATGCCGAAGTATACAATGAATAAAAGAATGTACAAAAGTACATGGTTATAAATATAACTGGGTTATTCCTGTGTCTTTCAATAACTTCTGGATAGATCACTTCGTAATATTGGACTATTCTGAAATTGCCCTGAATGGCCGAATAAATCGTGCATACTATACTCTTGAGAAAAAACTGGGCCATGCCACATGTGGTCAGGATCGCCCACGCTCGGCAAAGCCATCGGCCTTTTTTCGCGTATTCAAGTATCACGTTTTGCTCTTCTTCTGACATCGTCTTCGCTATTTCATATTCAGCCTTCATGGTTTCAATTAACATCTTCAATTTGCTTTGATAATAAAGCATGTTGATGTAGAGAAGCGTGATTACCAAGTAAACGAAGGACAGGCACATGTTTCGGCACATTTGCGAATAATCGGCGGCCTTTAAATCGAATTCGATAATGTTGTAGATGAATAACATGCAGATTATAGTGAGCTCTCCGTGCATTAGAATAAAGTGCGTTGCCCATTTTTTGTCTCTCTTCGTGTATGGGTACGTGCCACTGAATTTTTGCGAAATAATTGCTATTCTGAAAATTTTATCGAAGTTCAATTCCATTTTGGACTTTCTATAATTAATCATTGCATTATTGGTTCGAATGATACTGGGTGGAAATTTTATAAAGAAACCACCCTCGTTTGATTAAAAAAAAAAGTTTATTGATTGGTCCAAAATTAGTATTTATAACATCTGTATAAACAAATATCAGAAAAGACAAAATACATCTTCTCCTCAACATATTGGTCAATCTAATTTCTACTGTTGTTGCTTAACACGTTCGCTGCGGCAAGTAAAATCTTAAACCTTTGTCTGGTGCGGCGGCGGGCCAAATTGTGCCCCCAATGATTTTTCCGCCAGTGCGTGGTAGGTCTTTTTCGACACGTCAGCACAAGGTTAGATTAAATTGCTATAACTTTGCGAAAACATAATGTAGGTGAACAGTTTTTGGACTGTTGGAAAAACCTTGAACCCAACTTCTTTAGATTTGATTCGCCCCGGGATCTGCCGAACAGAAAATGAGAAATAAACCAGGGAAAGTGGCGGGTCGATATCGACCAGAACCGCACTAGAAAGTATTTTTAGTAGTGATGGGAAAGACAAAAATAAGGGGATATCGAAAATAAAACAGAATTAAAGTAAAGAAATAAAAATTGTTTATTTAATTATTTATTAATGGCTGTCTTTAAAACATTTCGCACAAAGATTTTGCNTTGTTGCCTGACATCGTGCCTTTAATTTTAAGGAATAAAAAAAACGTGACGTACGTCAGTTCCGATAGCTTGCCCAACACTAACTGGCGAGGCGGGCGCTCTGTGCGGTATCGGGCCGCCAACAGCCTGTTGGGACGGCGGGCCACAATAGGCCTCCTCCCGCACCGAGTTGATATTTTTTACCGTCAGTGCGTGATAGGCCGATAAAGGCCTGCCGTGATGTTTTTATAGGGAACACCTATACTTTTGACCACAATCTCAAATATATATTTGTCTTTGTCGTACCTTTACAAACACCTGAGATAATCGTTCCGCACCAGCGAGAGGGACATAGTTTTCTTCGTCCGCACCAGGTGAAATTCCGCGGCAGGCTGATTTGGGCCTGTTCCGCAGTGAACGTGTTAATAGGCATGAACGTATATTATAACTTTATAATCTAAATATAAATAAATAGATAATAAAACAAAAAACAAGGTGTAATACAAAAAGAAAACTAACTTCTTCAGTTAGTTAGTTAGTGATTTGATTTAAATTTCGATCACTGGATCACATAAAAGCAGAGTTAGGACGATTTTAGGAAATTTCTGTCTTCTTAAGGGAGCAGCCGTAACATAATACCAAAGACACAACTAACCTCAATGAGTTGTGGTCGCCATTTCAAAGGGAACATTCTATCGATGTCAGGAAAATGAACAGGTGTTTTATATTAAACAAATGTTATTTTTTCATGTTGAATTTGCTATTATTAAGGCACTAGAAGTGCCTGTGGTTTCAGCGGAGTTTAACCTATTTTTTACCCTACCTAATTGTTGGTAACATAAGGGGCTATTTCAGCTTCGCGCGGACTGGTAGGTGAGCTCATGGGTTCAACATAAGAGAATTGCTAACACTAGCCTTTTTCCTACGTAATCTTGTAACCTGCGAGTAGGTGAGCTCACGGGGCTCTATACCGAGGACGTTGCTCTAACACTAGCCCTAGCAAGAGTGCTTTTCTGAATTTACTACCGGATCAGAATCGCTACCCACAACGAAAATCCGACGATAACTTATAGCTATCAAAATCGATATTAGTTTGGCTGAACGTTGCGCTTTTATTTTTAATTGTCATATCATTTCTGACGTCTCTAGTATTGTACAGTTTTTATGGTCACAAACGATCATAAAAGTAATTAATTTTAAAGCAATTAAATTAATTATGTCTATGACTAGCGAAAACTTCAAACAATACAATAAATGGTATGACTTTTTCGAAAATAGCTAGACTTATTGTGGCGGGTAGCTATCATACAACGCAAGATAATTGACAGATTCCTGAATCTCGCTTACGACATTTTCAAGATAAAGCTCATATATAAAAGTTCCGAACAACAACATTCGGACCGTCGCCGCGTCGGTCTACCGAGCTGTATCACCCGCTCGGTGGAAGATCTTCCCTTTGTCGTATTTTTTTTTTATCTTTTTTTTATTGCTTAGATGTGTGGACGAGCTCACAGCCCATCTGATGTTAAGTGGTTACTGGAGCCCATAGACATCTATAACGTAAATGCGCCACACACCTTGAGATATAGTTCTAAGGTCTCAGTATAGTTACAACGGCTGCCCTGACCTTCAAGCCGAAACGCATTACTGCATCACGGCAGAAGTAGGCAGGACGGTGGTACCTACCTGTACGGACTCACAGGAGGTCCTACCACCAGTAATTACGCAAATTATAATTTTGCGGGTTTCATTTTTATTACACGATGTTATTCCTTCACCGTGGAAGTCAATCGTGAACATTTGTTGAGTACTTATTTCATTAGAAAAATTGGTACCCGCCTGCGGGATTCGAACACCGGTGCATCGCTTCAACACGAATGCACCGGACGTCTTATCCGTTAGGCCACGACGACTTCGAACTTGTATATCTCTCCAAACTTATTTATGGTATTTTGGTTTTGCGGGTTGCTTAGTTACGGCTCCGACTTCTGTTATGGTCATTATGAAGTACAGCATGCACGCGAGTTCATGTCCATCGGGGCCAGAGGCACGCGCGGGGGACAGCTCGCCCCACCTTCGCCCACCTCCCCGCATTTGTCTGACATCGAGTGTTGTCCTTGATGGTTGTGACGCGCGCTTATCTATATCGATAATTTACGCTAACGCTATTGTGTTATTTAACCATGACTACTCCGCTTCCAACAAGTTCAGTTAGAAAAAAACCTACTGAAAAAAGATACATACTGATTCCGACTCTGATCTGGCTGTTGTCTTTATAACGTGTCTGTGTCTAAGGGTGTCCCTGGTATGCCGATGTTACATGAGGCCCAGTCGCGTCACTCCCCAAAAGGCGGTCTATGGGTCGAGAGACACGGGGCCGAGTCGCACCACTTCTAGACACGTCACCACCGGTAGACAGCCGGTGAACAGGAGACTCTGTGAGGAGGATCTCAGGGCGCCACCACTTACCGCTCTGGGAGACTCACGCCAATAAATGAAACAATTACAATATATATTACACTTGAGTTTATTAACTACACATGAATACAGATTTAATGGTTTTAATTGTTTACACAGAATAAATTAGTGGTAAGGTATCCTTAATTAAATGTGTGTCGGTAAGTATACCGAACACACGAGTAAGTATTTAAGAAAGTGAGATTAAAATACCAATATTATAAATAAAGACGGTATCACCAGTTTGGTTCACAAAATGACGATAAACGTTTACTGGATTGCTTCCCCGCAACTGGGGTTGCTGGATCCGAGCCAGGTTGTGTATGCAGGTGTGTTTCTTTGTTCTACGGTAGTCAAGTACTTTCTTGGATCGCCTAGCCAGAGCACCTCGCTTCCGGCAGCGTCCACGCAGAAAAGTACTGTGGGATCTCGAAGGTGATAGTAAGGTCACATTCCGCACCCTAACTGATGTACATGTAATGTACCAGTTATTAGGACCCTGGTTGAATAAAAATACACCAAGGAACTGTTAAATTGACTTTGGTAAATACGTAATAAAACTTGCACTGCAGCTCGAGAGATGTTGATTGAAAAAGCTTCGGACAAAGTGACTTGTCCTTTTATAAGAATAGTCTTACGGTTCTCGAATGTTCCGCCTATAGTGCTGTGACAATCTCACCCTCGAACCACAGACAAGATAGCACGGTCACGCCATGCAGTGTCGAATAAGTGCACTACGCAGTGTTTCACAATTATATATTTCCCCACACTGCGCCACGTATACGCTAGAGGGCGTTAATTTAAAAATCAAAAAAAACAATTTCAATTTTTCTAGCGTTACATCTTTTCATTTGATAGTGATTGAATTGGAATTTAAAAAATATTTTTCTCTATTAGAAATAAACAAGTAATTACTTATCACATTTATTTTATTTCATAAATTGCAAAATGACTTTAAGTTACATTAACCCAAATTGACAGCTGTTGACTAAGTAAATCGGTAGTTATTATCGACATTACCATAATTAACTAGGTCACAGCACTACCGTATTCCTCAGGATGGATATGAACTCGCGCGCCTACTGTATATTCCATGCGAGATGTTTTAGATGATATTTTTCTAATACATTCTTTCTGCATTAGAACCTAATTAACGAGAAGTGAATTCTAATTTTGGCTCTTTGATAGTGATGTCGTTAATTTAAAACAGAGCTTAAAGTGTTTTCCACAAAAATAAACAAAAAAATTGCACACATACCTAAACGAATTATTGAGTCTTCTCAAACATTTCATTGAAATATTTATTGCACGACTAAACAAAATAAAAATATGTATTCGAACATTCTACTTAAAAGAATATTAGAATAATAGTTTCAGTTAAGTTAAAATAATAATAATATGTATAAATGTAAAACACATCATTATTTGATCTATGACGTCTTTTCAGGCTGAAATATTACAGTAAAATAGAAGAGGGTACAGAGACATAGAGGGAGAGTGGAAACCAGGTTCTTGTCAGGAAAAATCCTGGACAGTAGTTAAATTCAGAAAAGAAACTAATCACAAAAATTTCCCTAAAAACTCGTATTTTTTCAATCTGGTAAACCAACACGATCGCCGCATACATACGTGCGATATTAAAGCTTACCTACAAGTAGAGGTAGACTTTGAAATGGCTACGGTCACGTGGATTAAGAGAACACATTCTTAGAAGCAGTCTTCCCGTTTTGTACGCCATGTTGCAAACAACAATATTATCGTAGACTGGTCGTTCACTGGTGGTAGGACCTCCTGTGAGTCCGTACAGGTAGGTACCACCGTCCTGCCTACTTCTGCCGTGATGCAGTAATGCGTTTCGGCTTGAAGGGCAGGGCAGCCGTTGTAACTATACTGAGACCTTAGAACTTATATCTCAAGGTGGGTGGCGCATTTACGTTGTAGATGTCTATGGGCTCCAGTAACCACTTAACACCAGGTGGGCTGTGAGCTCGTCCACCCATCTAAGTAATAAAAAAAAACTTAGGACTAAGACACCAAGTAAGTAGATAGTGAGCTGGGTCTCTGGCAATGCTGACGTCCATCAGCAGTGGTATTCACTCACCATCAGGTTGGGACGTACGCTGGTATGCATACAAAATCCAGGATAAAATAGGTATGCTGAGCACAGTCTGATTTAGAACAAACTTCATCTTCACAGTTTAACGAAAAAAAGTTCATCTTTATTTTGTATTTCATTAATTAACTTTAGTGAACTTAAAAACAGGCCATTTGTTTGTATTCTCATAAACTTATAAAAATACAATGTTCGTTATTCGTAAGCTTATAACGATCACAATTACTATACTGAGTAACTATAACTATACTGAGATCTTAGAACTTATATCTCTAGGTGGGTGGCGTATTTACGTTGTAGATAGATGTCTATGGGCTCCAGTAACCACTTAACACCAGGTGGGCTGTGATCTCGTCCACCTACCGAAGTAATAAAAAAAACTCTACTTAATCTTGTAGTATTTAAAGAGTGACAATTAGTCCTTATCGCCCTGAGTGGCTAGGGCTAGCGGCATTCACGTTTTGGCGTCTAAAGATTATATTGTGTGTTTAGTGCGAGTTTTTTAACGTTCTCGATAGCGTAAAAGTTAACTCAAATTTGTTGAGTTTGAACGTTGGCCTACGTTTGCCGTTAGGGCGCTGTTCCAACTGCACAAAAAATTGAGTTAACTTTTACGCTGTCGAGAACGCTAAAAAACTCGCACTAAGCACACTGATAATCAGACCCAGGAGTCCGTCCGTTCGGCGTCCAGTGGAGGCAGGGTTGCAGGTCGTCACGCGCGGAACGCCTCACATTGTCTCCAACCTCAGATGAGTTCTGCCTCATACGAGACGCGGTCACAGGCTGATGATAGGACACTTTATTTGATTCAACTCAGGAATTTTCACCCAACAAAAAACTTTATAACATGATTAATTACAATCCGACATACTTTGCGTTAGCTGAAGTCAATCGCATACATGTGTATTTAAAGTAATTTTACGTTTTTATCTAGCGTTTCTTCATTATGTTATTGCCGGCGTTCTGAATTGCTTATAGTTTTCATGGTCACGAGATTGAACCGTACAAGTAGTTTAAATTACTTTACTACTCGCGAAAGTACGAAGAAAATATCATGCATGTTTGTAATTGTCAAGGGTCTGGTTAAGATATTATAATCTGCTATTTACACTGACATAAGGTACTCTCTTTCCTTGCGTCTTATTCCTCACTGCTGAGGGTCGTGATCACCCTTTTGTATCACCTTCGTGGTTTCAACGCACGATCTTTCTCCATCTATTATTATCTCTGGCGATGTGGAGGGCGTTGTGAAATCTGGAATCAAGAGCGGTGCGGATCTGATCGGACCGACGTATTGGACTGAGCCTCCGAGGCCTTTTCTTATCCACTTTACCGGTCCCGATGAGCCTCTCGAGATTGTTACCATCCTTGCAATGTGACCTTCAAGGACCCCTTTTTTCCTACCTATGCTGATAGCCTTGAGAGGCTATTTCAGCATCTCCTTGACGTGTAGGTGAGCTCACGGGGCTCAAACCGGGTGTGTTGCTAACACTGGCCCTAGCAAGAGCAGTGCTTCGCAGAATCTACCACCGGATCGGAAACGCAACCCACTGAGAAAATCCGGCGAGAAACGGCCTATGGGTTGATTTACTCGTCGAACCCTTCGTCGCAAGCGACGGGTTCGGCCGTCGGGAATTACGGTGACCGGTGCTTGAGGTATCTAAAAGCACTGTCAATGGATCAGGAGGACACTGCGGAGACACTCGCATGACAGCCGCGAGGATATGTTGGGTTATTGTCAAAATTTATACGTTAGTCCGAATTGCTGTCCACAGAATACGGAGCATCTTTCTCCAGCACCTCATCTCAAAAGTGTCAATGCGTTTACGGTCTGTAGATTTCAGTGGCCAAGTCTATAAGATATAAGGTACCTACGCTTTATTATAAACTAGTATCAGCTATTGATAAGTGCCTTAATGATATTTGTAAAAAAAATATTCAAGTCGTCTACTACAATATCATTTAATTCCACACCGCGTTTAATAAATTGAACAATGCGTAGGCCTGCTGGAACACCTGGGAACAAAAAGAACAATTATCGAAATAAAAATGTTGTTGCGTAAGTAAAATGTAAGCTGGTAGGCTTGAGAGGCTATTCCAGCGTAGCCTTAACTAGTAGGTGAGCTCACGGGGCTCAAACCTGACGACGTTGCTAACACGAACCCTAGCTAGAGCCGTGCTTCGCAGAATCTACCACCGGATCGGAAACGCGACCCACTGACAAGATCCGGCGAGAAACTCAGTGGGCTGTGTCTGAGGGTTAATTTACCCGTCGAGCCCTTCATCGCAAGCGACGGGTTCGACGAGAACGGTGACTGGTGCTTGAGGTACCTAAAAGCACCGTTAGTGGATCGGGAGGATCCGAGATGACGTGTTTTGGGCGACGTCGACTGCTTTCCATTCTTTCCGCAGGATCGGGAATGTAGTTACCGGCGGTCACGATGAGAGGGTTCTCGTGTCGTGCCGCTTTATCGAAGTGGACTTTTGGCACCTTGGTAACAAAAGTGATAATTGTGGTAAAACGTTTAAAATGTGCTTCCTTTCGCATTGTGACGTCATTTGTGTTAAATGCCGTAATCGTCATACTTACATCGGTCAGCGTAGTGAGTGAGACTGATCGGAATATAGTCCTGATAGAGACGGGTCTGAGCGCCCGGCACAGCATCAGTATTATACATTTCCGCGTATTTAGATCGAAGCGGGTCTCCCAACCGCAGGAATACAGTGTCATGCGCACGTCTTCACTCTGGTGAACGAAAAGATGGTTTATTATCTTCTTCTTTTGTATTATTATCTCCTCCTTCTCTTTCTTTTTTTTGTTTTATTGCTTAGATGGGTGGACGAACTCACAGCCCAATTGGTGTTAAGTGGTTACTGGAGCTCATAGACATCCACAGCGTAAATGCGCCACCCACCTTGAGATATAAGTTCTAAGGTCTCAAGTATAGTTACGACGGCTGCCCCGCCCTTCAAACTGAAACGCATTACTGCTTCACGGCAGAAGTAGGCAGGGTGGTGGTACCTACCCGCGCAGACTCACAAGAGGCCCTACCACCAGTAATATGTAGTTTTCTTTTAGTATCTTCTTACTTTCAGTATGACAATTGGCCTCAGTTTCTATAGTGTTTAATTATAATTATAAACTTTGTCAAAATATGCCAAACTGAACACTAGAAATGAAGATTATCACATGTACCGATTCCGCGTTGCAAATTTGAGCTTTGCTCTGATGGCAGGTGGTGTAGTGGTAAAAAAGAGATTACGGGGTTCACTCGAACCGTTTTTTAGAGTGAAACGTAACCAATCTTTTAAACCAGTATCTCCAGGATTCGCCTTAAGTTTTTTTTTTATTGCTTAGATTGGTGGACGAGCTCACAGCCCACCTGGTGTTAAGTGGTTACTGGAGCCCATAGACATCCACAGCGTAAATGCGCCATCCACCTTGAGATATAAGTTCTAAGGTCTCAAGTATAGTTACGACGGCTGCCCCGTCCTTCAAACTGAAACGCATTACTGCTTCACGGCAGAAATAGGCAGGGTTGTGGTACCTACCCGCGCAGACTCACAAGAGGTCCTACCACCAGTAATTACGCAAATTGTAATTTTGCGGGTTTGATTTTTATTACACGGTGTTATTCCTTCGCCATGGAAGTCAATCGTGAACGTTTGTTGGGTACGTATTTCATTAGAAAATTTGGTACCCGCCTGGGATTCGAACACCGATGCATCGCTCAACACGAATGCACCGGACGTATTTATCCTTTAGGGCACGACGTCTTCAAAAAGCATTTTTAAGATTTATGATTCTTCACAAGAGACACCCTGTATAGTGTTTTACTGTACTTTTTCCATGAGCATGTTGCTGTAGTAGCACGGGGTCGTCCCAACCATGAAAACGCCGAAGATGAAGGCGAAGAACTCCGGTATGAACTGACCTCGGCCGAGAGCCTAAAAATCATAAAGGCACTAGATGTTATCTAATGGACTACAATCACACGGTGTGTGAATGACGATATGAGAGAGAGAGGAGTGAGTGTTGAGATGACGGCTGATAGAAGAGAATGGAAGAGAAAAATTTGCTGTGCCGACCCCACCTAGTGGGATAAGGTGGAGAAAAAGAAGAAGACCTATTTTTGTAGGGGGTGATGGAAGAGAAATGCTCCGCACTAAACGCTTCACTCTCCCCCTTTGCCTTTAATGAGTTCTGTCTCATGCGAGGCTCGGACGTGGGTTGTTGAGCGACAGGAGGTTTTAGTCGGTTCGACTCCGACATACCACGCCCGTCATCCCCAGTGGAAGGTGGGAGTCTGGCGATTGCCTCCCAACAAAAAAAAAATACCTATTTTTGTCAATTAGAAAGTATAATCATGAGAATGAAAATGTTATAGTTAAAGCAAAATTATACAATAGAAAACAAAATTGGTTGTTCCTGTTTCTGATGTGAAGCAGTTAGGAAACATAGCGTAGCCCTTGTAATATATTTAAGATATCCGCCTCATATCTCTTTAAATATTTATTCTTTACTTCTCGAGAAATACTAGGATAAGTATGGTCTGGTATTGGCTAATCCGTAAAAATAATAATATTCCTCAAACAAAATTCTAAGCTCTCATTCTAAGTTACAATTTTCAATTAAATAACATAATTTAAGAGCATATTTCATTAAGATACACAAACAAGCAATTGAGTTACGCTATCAAATCACAATGAGCTAGTTTTAGCAGCAGATAGTTTGACAGATAATTTAATCGTCAATGATCAGAAGCAATGAGCAGAAGCAGAAACAATAATAATAAATAACAAAAGACGGTGTCAATAATTACCCAGCAACTGATATTATAGCACAATATTTTCAAATCATATAGAGACTGGGAATATGAAAGTAGGACCAACTAACTGTTTATCTTATTGTCTAGATTCCTATAAAGCATTATTTGCTACAACTCATTTCGAGGCTGTCCGTAAAATGTTTATTTTGATTACAAACGTTTCATTGTGTATTTAAGTATTAAAAAACATGAAGTTTAGGAAATATCTTGATAATGAACGAGAATTACTTGTATAACTGCGAAGATCGTGATGGGTAAGACCAGGGATGTGGCTTTCAGTAGAAACTCATATAATATTTGAAAACATTCGTTTATCTCATGCGAATAGCTGTAAAAAAAGTAAATTGTATTAGTGTCTAAGGTAGCTCTAGCCTCTGCTTATACGAAATGCGGTTTTATAGATTTTTAACAAAACTTTGGAATGAGTTCCCTTGCGCGATGTTGTCAAAGCAGCATGGTCATCCATTTCTTCTTCAAACAAGTTTTGAAATTTGTTCTTAGAGACAGATCAATACATCATCGTACTTTATATAAAGATAATTTATTAGGTGTTGTCTGTATTAAATTTAAACTACATATTTTATGCGTGGCACACTCTTACGGAGGTTTTAGCCAAAAGGCATTCAGAAATAAAGGCTTTTCATATATATTTTTTTTTTTTTTTATTGCCTTTGTAGGCAGACGGGCATAAGGCCCACCTGATGGTGATGGTGGTTACCGTCGCCCATGGACTTCAGCAATGCCAGGGGCAGAGCCAAGCCGCTGCCTACCGCTTAATACTCTCCACAAGCCTCGTTTGAAGAAGGACATGTCATAGCGCTCGGGAAACACCGTGGAGGGGAGCTCATTCCATAGCCGGATGGTACGTGGCAAAAAAGATCTCTGGAAACGC